TTTTTACCTTTCCCCTACCCCTCCCACTTCCTCTATTCTTGTAGCTTTTCTTCCTATTACACAGTATCAATTATACATTTTGATCCTTATTTACACTTTTACTTTTCACACCAGAGAAACTTTTTTGCATTTACTCATGTGTGACTTATTAATTTCACTTAAGAGTGTGGCCTCAGTGTGCATCCTCTTAGCTATAAATCTCTCTAGTTTCTCATTCTTCCTGGCTGAGTAGTACTCCACTTTACATATTTAAAAAACACATCTTTATCCAGTCTCCAGCTGATGGGCAATTGGGCTATTTCCAAATTTTAGCTATTACAAACTGTGCCACTATAAGCATGGGTGTGCATATATTGCTGCAGTACGATTCATTTAATTATTTTGGGAACATACCCAGCAGAGGAATAGCTGGGTCAAATGGGACTTCTAATCCTAGCTGTTTGAGGGATTTCCACATTGATTTCCATAGTGGTTGCACCAGTCTGCAGTCCCACCAACAATGGAGAAGGGTTCCTTTCTCCCCACATTCCCACCAGCATTTGTTATTGGTTGATTTCTTGATAGCAGCCATTCTTACTGGGGTGAGGTGGAATCTCAGTGTTGTTTTCATCTTCATCTCTCAAATGACTGGTGATGTGGAACATTTTTTAAATATGATTATTTGCTGCTTTTACTTATTTGTCTGAGAAATGTCTGTTCATTTCAGATGCCCATTTTTTAATTTGGTCTTTGTATTTGGGGGTCTGATGTTTTTAAATTCATTATATAGTCTAGATAGTAGACCTTTGTTTGAGGAACAGCAGGTAAAAATTTTTTTTCCCACATTGTGAGTTGTCTCTTAGCTCTGCTTGTGATTTATCTGGCAGTGCAGAAGCTTTTTTAAAAGATGAGATCCCAATTGTTGATTCTTTGTGCTAGTTGCTGTGCTACTGAGGATTTGTTCATAAAGTCTTTTCCTATGCTGATATCTTCAAGAATTCTACCTAACTTATCTTCCAGAAAGTTTAGTGCTTCTGTTTTAATATTTATATTTTTAATCCACTTGGATTTTAGGTTAGTGCATGATGAAAGATACAGGTCTAGTTTTAATCTTTAACAAGTTGAAATCCAGTTTTTCCAACACCATTTATTAAAGAGGCTATCTTTCCTCCAGTGAGGGTGTTTGGCTCCTTTGTCAAAGGTGAGGTGGCTGAGTGTGTCAAAATGTGTTGTTTCTGCATCTTCTAATTTGTTCCACTGATCCTCAAGTCTGTTTCTTTGCCAGTACCATGCTGTTTTTATCACAGTGGCTTTGTAGTATAGTTTCAAGTTGGGGATTGTGATCCCCCCGCCATGTCTCTGTTGCCTAGAATTGCACTGTGAGTTTCACAGCCTGAACTTATTAATGAAACCCCGATTCAAAAAGAAAAAAGTGAAGAAAAGAGTTTTAGTCCCTATTATCACTTACAAACAAAGATCTAAGTACAACTTGTGTTCAGGGAAGGCCTCAGCAAGTTACCTGAGGATTTACCTAGACAAGCCAGGAGTTGGGGTGAGACATCCCCAGCAGGGGGAGCCACATGCACTCTCAGGTGACTCAGAGGGAAGAGGAGGAGGCCTCAGTCGCTGGAGGGGAAAACGGAAGAGGAGAGAGAGGCAGAAAGCAGTCTGGGCTCCCAGGCCCTTGTGGACTAAGTGTCAGAGTTTTCAGTGTATCTTAATTGACCAAAGAGAAGACTTCAAAAGTCCTACTTTGTGTTCCTTGGAACAACGGTTTGAGTGAAAATGGTTTATTTGAAAAGTGACCCAGGAAAGCAACATTTGGGGAAGTAGAGGAAGTGTCATAGTCCCTTTTGTGGTGTTACAACAAAAAACCACCGCAGTCAGGCATGGTGGTGCACGCCTATAATCCCAGCACTCAGGAGGTGAGGCAGGAAGATCACTGTGAGTTCGAGACCAGCCTGGGCTACATAGTGAGTTCCAGGTCAGTCTCAACTACATAGTGAGACTCTATCTCAAAAAACCAACCCCCCCCAAAAAAAAACCCAAAAAACAAAAACAAAAACAAAACCCCAAAACCACAGACTCAGTAATTTCCAAACAAGGAAATGTATTTCATCTGTAATCCCAGCTCTTGGAAGGCTGAGGCAGGAGGATTGCCTCTCGTTTGAGGCCAGCTTGGTCTACATACTCGATTCAAGGCCAGCCTGAAGTACACATTGAGATTTTGTCTCTAAATAAATACATAAGTAACTAAATAAATTAAGAAAAGGCCTGAGGATACAGCTCAGTATGAAGGCCCTGGGTGCAATCACCAGTACCAGAAGAAGAAAAGAATGAGGAAAGGAGAGAGGGAAGAAGGAAAGAAAGAGAAAAAAGAAGGAAGAAAAGGAATTTCTTCATATCTTGGGAGCTGGAAAGTCCAAGATCAAGGTAGGCATCTTACTGTGCAGCCACCCGCAGCCGATGGAAGGCAGAAGGGGAGGGAGTGAGGGTGAGGGTTTGCTGAGTGGTGATCCTAGCATGCAATCACTTGGGAAGCCGGACCCTCAGTGCTAGGCACCTGCTGAAGTCCCCACCGCCCAACACTGTGGCCTTGGTGTTGTCTGTTTCTACCACATGCACTTAGGGGCAGGTGGTGCTGGAAGGGGTGTGTGAAGATAGCCACTGACGAGTCATCCGACTGGTCGCCACTGCCCACCAGTCCAGCTCAGGGCCACCGGGATCCCAGAGAGCGACTTTATGTGTGCACCTCAGGAGACCCCCCTGGCCCCCCGCCGTGCATGTGTTTTAAAAAGTAGTCTACTCCAGGCATGGTGACATCTGTAATCCCTGCACCGCGGGCGGTTCAGGGTTCTAAAACCCAGGGTCCTAACCCGAGTTCCTCTCACCGCCCTTTGCCTGGAGCACAAAACACACTTGGCTTGAAGCTCAGATTTGGGGACTGGGCCAGAGCCAGCCTCCTCCTCCTGAAGGCTTTGCCCACCGCAGGAAAAACATACATTAACTCCATACAGAGGAGCCATTCCTGGAGCGAGTAGACCTCTTGCGGCTGGCATACAGTGCTCCTTGGGGCTCCGGGAACAGGTGGACTGGCGACCCCCTGGGAGACAGCAGGGCCTTCAGAGGGGGCAGGAGCTGGATGTGTAGACATTCAGCAGCTTGGGGGAGGTGGAAAGAGCAGGTGCCAAGGGTGGGGGGGTTGGAGAAGGAGGGAGGAAAGGACAGGGGCCTTGAGGGGCACAAATGCACAGACTTTCCAGTCCTCTTACTCTACCCCGGGGTCGGGGTCTGAGGCAGAAGTGGCTCAGGTGCTCGGCCAGGTGGGGTCACCCCCCGGCCCCTTCGGTGCTTCATGGTGAGATGGTGGGGTGGTAAGTTTTATTCCTGTTGCCTTGGTTCACTTTGCAAAACTGAGTGTCTACAGCGTCTTAGGTCTTTGCCCCAAGCTGGGCCTGAAGGAGGACATTTTTTTTTTTTTTTTGGCAGTACTGGGGATTGAACTCAGGACCTTGTGCTTGCAAGGCAGACACAGTGCCACTGCTCTTCTGTCAGCTGGGTCCCTTTCTTCCTGGTCTTGTCCCCATCTGTGGAGGCCGCAGTGAGAGGCGGACTGGGGAAAGTCCGGGGCGGGGAGCTGGGCAGAAGGGATGTTGGGAGGACCCCGCGGGAGAAAGCCCTGAAGAACTGGGACACTGAACCGGAGGGGTGGGACAGAAAGCCACCCGAAAGGTGCACGACAGGTCACCGGGTCCGAGTGGGGTAGGTTTGTCCTGGCAGGAAGCCCCAGGGGCCTGTGGGTAAATCAGGGCCCGCCCTCCTAGCTCACTTTTTGAGCCCTGGAAAGGGCTGGCCAAGGGCGGACAGTGTCAGACGTCAGCAGGGCGGTGGCCTGGAGGCCAGACTCAGCCCCAGCCACGTGCTCACTGCCTGTCTTTCTGCACAGCCACCACTCACCAGGAGTGAGTGACAACTGCCCGTTCCCGCTCCACCCCCCAGGCACCGGCGACTCCATGGCACCGCTGGCCTGGTTAATCCTGTGCCCTCAAAGCAGAGGCTCTGACCATGCAGCTGTTTCTCCCTCCTGGGTACTCTGGGCCCCCCTGACGGAGGAGAAGGCGCACGGCAAAGCTGGTGGCAAGAGTGGGACCCAGGCCAACACGAGGACCCCCACAGAGAACTTCTTGACAACTGCCGTGAGATGTGGTTGGCATAAAAAGCACCGCCTTCCCACAAAGCCACTGTCGTGTGCTAAGTTTGCATGGTCTCTGCGCTGCGTTTCTCAGGTGCGGTGTGTGCTTTGCTTTACCCGCTTTTTCTCTTCTCCCTTACCCATTTACCCTGCACTTTTCAAAGAAACTGTTGACATCATTTCTTACATCTCTCTTATGTTGGCCTATGTTGAGGAGAGCTCATGGGTGAACACAAGGCTGGGTGCTTTCCACCCATCTCCCCCGCAGGCCACCAGGCCGGGCTAAGCAGGGTCCCATGTACTCATGAGGAAGCCCAGCCCAGCACCTAAGCACGTGTCACCCCGCAGGCCGGCCCACTCTGGCCCGGAGCAGAGCTGCTACCCCACAAGTGGGCCAGGGCAGCCACCAGGAGCCACTGTTACCAAGTGTGCAGGCTCCTCGCTAGGCAACTGCTGCCTGCTCAGCTCCGTCTCCTCCACACAGGTCAACAGGGGAGGCTCGAACTTTCAGACTTCCTTCCTCACTCATAATAGGCCCGCAGCGCTACTATCCAGCTCCCTCTGACCTTTTTAAATTTAGGGCAGCGGTTTCTGCCTGAGGCCGCCAGAGGGACAGATGGTGCGAGGGCGCCACCTGGTGGCCAGTTACAGCCAGACCGGGCATAGATTAAAATGACGACAATGATTTCAGTCATGTGTGGAGACACACACCTGTAAGCCCAGCAACTATAGGAGGCTGAGGCAGGAAGATGGCAAGTTCAAGATGATCCAGAACACCTTAGTGACTTAGCAAGACCTGCTCAAATTTAAAAATAAAAAAGGGCTGGGGATGTAACTCAGTGTGAAGGCCCCGGGTACAACCCCCAGTAGTCCTCCCAATCCTACAGTTGATTCTAATGAGGCCAAATCTTGTCTTCCAGCTGGGCCCTCAGGGTAGAGTACAGATCTGCAGGTGGTCAGGGGATAACAATAGTGACTGACTTTGGTGGATGCTTCAGCCAGGACAGGACTCAGAGTTCACTATCTTTATCCTCAATTTACAGCTAGCGTGATACCTTTGCTTCGAAGCTCACAAGTACTATGGCCCTGGCCTCATGAGAGAGATGGATCCCAGAGCAGGGTGCCATTCCAGGAAATAGTGCCTCCCTTCCGGACATAAATGCTACAGGAAAAGGGGGGCGGAGGGAGCCATGAAGCCACTTGTCACCTGGACTCCCAGGTAGCTCGGTGGACTCCCCAGGGTCAAGGTGTTCAGGAAGTGGCCCCGCCCACCAGGAGGATACGGGCACCACCCCTCGCAGCATGTGACACACAGCCTGGGTCCTGTGCATGGCTCACCCAGCTCGGAGGGGGAAGGAAGACAAGATAGAGAACTTTTTTACTAGTAGGAATGCATCTTCCAAAAGCTCTTAGGGGAGCTGCTGCCACTGTGGAGGGAGCCTGTGGTCCTGGAGCTGAGTGGGCCTAGGTCATTTCAGTCCGACCCTGCCAGGCGGGGCAGCCCCTGGCGGGCTCGGATCCGCTGCGAGAGCCGGTAGAGCTCCATAGTGGCCTTTGCGTCTTCCACAGAGCTGTGTCCCAACAGGTTGTTCTGCAGATAAACAGACAGATACAAGGTGGGGCTGGGAGCTGGCTGAATCCAGAGGCTCAGGGCCTGCTCACCCTCGATTTCCCCGTTCGAAAGGTGGGTCGGTGGGCTGGAGCCTCCTCAGGCCTCCGACTCCATGGGTATGGAAGAGCGAGGCCAGGCACAAAATCCCACATCCTAAGAATGAGGCTGGGCCCCCCGCACAGGCCCTCTGTGGGATGGGGGTGCAGCCAGGCACACAGCAGCTGCTCTGAGGGGAGCTGGGGCACCAGGATGGAGCAAGGGTCTCCAGTCAGGGGCGTGGGAAGGGCTGCTCCGGAAGGCAGGGACATCAGCAAGTTGAGGCCAGGGCCTGTGAAACCTGCTGTGGAAGATGGAATGAGACACCCCAAGAATCTGGTACCCTGAGGGGTGCAAGCACTGGGGAAGCGCGAAGTGTGGGTGCTGCTAAAATCAGAGTTCTGGGTAGACAGTGGGGAGGTGATCCAGGGCCCTCAGCAAAGGCCATGAACGCCACTCGGGGGAGGCTGCACTTTATAGGGCCAAGGTGCTAGTGGAAGTCAGAGGCCACTGGATCTGTTGGAGACAGAGGAGACTGCCATTCGCCATCTCTGTGCCGGCACCAGGCTCATGTGACCTCTTCAGCTTTGGCTGGATGGGAGGGTTCTCCCATTTCATGGATGGTGAAACTGAGGCTCATGCACAAGGTGAAGGCTGCAGAGCTGGGATTGCTGCTGCATAGAGAGGCCTGTGTCCCCTGGGGTCAGCCTCACCTCTGTCCATACTTCCCGCCTGGTCCTGGGGTCCTGGTGAGGACCCAGTGGCGGGGCCTTGTGGGGCTGCTGCACCTGGCCGAGCTCGCCTGGCCTCCCTCAGCCCACAGTGGCCTCCTTGCCCTGCCCCGCCCTGGGCCACTGCCTCCCTCACACCTGGCCATCCTGCCTGCCTGTGTGGATGTCTGCTCCTGGCCTCCCGCTTCTCTGGGCTGGGCAGGTCCCTCATGCCTGGATCCCCAGCCCCTGGCATGGAGTTGGTGCTCACTAAGCTGCTGACCGGAGGCTTTCCCCCCGGGTGGCCAGACACGCAGAATCCAGTGTCTGCCAGTGAGTGCAGTGGTGCTGTAAGTATCCAGTGCCCTGGCACCTACTGTGGGGGCAGAGCAGCAACACCTCCCAGGGTTCATCTTCCCTTAGTGTACTGGGCCTCTGCAATGAGCTGCATCCTCAGCTTTTTAAAATTTTTTATTTTGAGAAAAGATCTCACTAAGTTGCTAAGTTACTCAGGCTGAGCTAGAACTTGCAATCCTCCTGCCTCAGCCTCCCAGAGTGCTAGAGTACATGCATGTGTCAACGTGTCCTATGATTCTGCACTAGAAACAGCTTCATACCCACAGGGTAACTGGCTTGATTTAACCACAGACAACAAACCTGTACTGGGTACTGCCCCTGCTTACTGTACCAGGGGGCCCCGGGGTCACCTTGCAAACCCCATACTTGTCTTTGGGAGGCCCGAGCTAAGATACCCCCCACCCCACAGGCACAGGGCCTCTTGGGAGTGAAAGGAGCAATCTGCCCCTAAGCCATGGGACAAGTTCAGAGTCCTGGAGGGAGAGGCAGGAGTAGGAGCAGCCCCAGGCGAGCTGGCTGACCTGTCCTGGTGCCCCTGGGGAGGGCAGGGGGGAAGGCAGGCAGTGGGAGGGGGAGGCGAGAGGAAGGGGCGGGGAAGGGGTGGGGAGGGCGGAGGAGGAGGCAGCCCTCACCTGGATGCGCTTGTGCAGGAGCCGCTCGCACAGCACCCGCAGGGACACGCGATTACAGTGCTCCAGGTTGGCCTCGCGCCACAGCACCCAGTCGGTGGACGTGTCGTAGATGGCGTAGCTGTTCATGTCCTCCTTCAGCGCCTTGAAGTCGTGCTTTAGGTCGTGACCCACCACCAGCTTGCCTTTCAGGAGCTGCAGTATCTGCCGGGAAGACGCGCACCCTGCACGTGTCCACGGGGTCCCACAGGGCCTCCGGTGGGGCCGGGACCGGCAGAGGAGCCCGCCTCAGCTTGCCGTATGACCTGGGCTGCATCGTGCCCAGAGTCCCCGGACCCCTCCGTGGCCTACTGACCGCTTCCCGTGCCAGCCCACACAGGGACCCCGTGTCCCGCAGACCTCTGTACAGTGCGGCCGCAGCTGCAGGATAATGACCTCCTGGGCCGCGACCCTGAGCCTGCGACGGGCTCCGTGACAGAGGAGCACTCTGACCTGGATTAGCGGGGTGGTCTCAAAGGTCAGAGCAAGTCCATGTGAGAACGCGTGAGCTGTTGCTGGCTTTGAAATTGGAGGAAGGGGCCAAGGTCAAGGTGCCAGGAAGCTCCTAGAAGCTGAAGGTCCAGGAGGTGGCTTCCCCCCTGGGCTTCCAGAGGAACCAGCCCTGCAGACGCCCCGGTGTTGGCCCAGTGGGACCATGTTAGACTTTGGAACTACAAAACTGTAAGTTCATAAATGTGTGTCGTTTGAAACCATTAAGTGGGTTTGTTTAGCAGCCATAGCAAACTAACTCAGCTAGGACAGTTGCTGCATTGAACCAAACTCTACAAAGGAAAAATGGATGCACAGGGATTTGCCTAAAGTCCCTCTGATGATTTTTAAAGTAAGCTTCATATGTAAAAAAAGATGGAGTCTAATCCCTCCCCAGGCATCTGAGGTGGCTTGTGTGACTCCTGACTTCTCTCGAGGGCTAGAACCGTAGGAGCCTTGAACCGACATGGAAGAGGCCCAGTCACTCCAAGGCCACCAGCTGTAGAGATGGTGGGAAGAGGCCACCCAGAGACAGAGGCAAACCCAAGGAACCCAGGACCTGCCACCAGACGGGGGGCAGAGGGAACTTGCTTAGGACTCTGGCCCGGCCTCCAAGATCCCTCAGCTCGCGCTCTGTCCTCACCGCCCCGCCTGCAGGTGCCCGAGCGAATCAATATTGACATTGTGGAACCACCAACTCTGGGTGATTTGCTGAGCACCATTACAGAGCTGGGACAGTCACGCCGCTGGATGGTGGCAGAGCCAGTTTTCCAAGCACCGCTTGTTACTGTCACATGGGCCCAGGTGTGGGGGACAGGCCTAGAGCACCCCCTTATCAGCATCCTGCACATGTTCCCCTCTGGCTGCCTTGCCCATGTGGCCTGCATCCTGCACACCAGCCACACCCCAGTCAGCACTAACTTGGCTGCCGCTGGAGAGGATGACAAAGGCAGTTCTGGGGGGCAGAGCGGGGTGGTGGTACCAGGCCTGGGCCGCAGGGCCACTCATGGCATTTCTACCTGGGATAGCTCTCTCTTTCTTCTCCTTCTTTCTTTTCTCTTTCTGGTACTGGGGATTGAACCTAGGAGCCTGCATATGCTAGGCAAGCACTCTGTCACTAAGCTGTATCCTCAGTATCCTCGGCCCTTCTCACAGGGTCTTGCCAAATTGCCCAGGCTGGTCTTGAACTTTTGATCCTCCTGCCTCAGCCTTCTAGAGCGCTGGGGTTTCGGGCACGGGCTACCACGCCTGGCCCAGGATTCTGTGTTCCTAACAGGCAGTGGGATGCTGCTGGCCTGGGGGCATACAGCCTCCATGCCGCGGCTCAGGAGGACCTCAGTATGGAGGGAAGGAGGGCCACAGGGGACACTGTGGAGGTGGAGGTCATGGCCATGTGTCTGTTCTTGATAATATCCTTTCTGTTTCTGATCAGTGTGACCCACTTTTCTCATCTAGGAGCTTGGCTCGGGCCCAGTTCACACCAAGTCCTGAAGAACTAACCCACCATTCCAGGGACAGCCATTGCTGGTCCCAGACATAGAGGGCCGAGTCATCGTGCCTGTGGATTCCTGGGAAATTCATCACTTCCTGAACCCCAGACTCAGGGAGAGGGGACAGCCCTGCATTGGGCATCACGGGACTCGGCATAAGACAAAACAAGAAAATACCAAGTAGTTTCTCTGGTGTGAAGAACTATAATAGTACATAAGAGCCTAATGATATAATTGACCATGTGAAGTAGGAAGAAAAGGGCTAAAGGTGTAGGGAAGGTGGGAAGGGTAGGGGAAAGGGAATAAGGGAAAAGAAAAAAATGTGAGAAAATGAAATGGAAATAAAGTGTTTGTAAATGGGGAGGGGAGGAGGGGGTGAAGGGAGGGGAGGGACAAGGGGAAAAATGAGAACCAAGACCTGTCATGTAGAGGTACAGGATCCCAGTGATGAAGGTAACGGTACTGTATTCCTAAAATGTACCAATAATCTCAATGAGGAAAAATATCAGTAAAATAAGACAAAACAAAAGGCAGAAGAAGGCAGAGGAAGAAAGGAAAGAAGAGAATATCTGGGGAGAGAGATGACTCCGTAGGTCTGGACGGGAAAGAACACTGGACTTGCTGTGTGGCCTCAGGGTGTCGAGGACCCTCTCTGGGCCTCCATGTTCACATTTATAAGGTTCAGGCTTTGACTGGTGGGACCTGAGAGGCCCATCAGCAGCCAGGGCACTGCTCCCTTTCCTAGGCAGAGCTGGGAAGGTGCCAGCAGCAGGCGGGGCCTCCGGCTGTGTGACCTGCTGGCCTTGGGACCTATCATGTGGCTGGTGTGCCAGGCTTCAACACGGAGGAGAGACTCTCGGATTCCTGGAAAGAGCCGAGGCCAGACACTCACCACTCCCCCTTATCAGCCGGTGCAGGGCCAGGGCTGGGCTTGCCTGGCCAGGAGGCTCCTCCCACAGACTATTCTTCGTTCCATTTCAAAGGAGGAACAGGACCAGAGGACGGGCTGGGGGCTTGTGCAGGCCACCCGGCAGCGCCCAGATCCACAGGACCCTGTCACTGTGGAGGCATCAGTAGCGCCTCTGACAACTCCAGGGTGGGGCACACTTCTGGGGCTGTGACGGCACACAAGAGGGGCTCAGCCTACGATCTGACCGACTGCGGAAGGGGTGCAGAGGACCCAGCCCCCTACCGTCAACCTCTTTCCTCCGGTCCCCTGCCATGCGCTCTGGCTGCCCCCGCTCCCACCTGTGCCATCCAGCCTGGGGTTATCTAGACGGTGAATTCCTCTTCCCTCTGGCCCAGCCCCAGCGGGACCTGCCAGGTGGCGGAGCCCCAGCGGGACATTCTGACCCATGTGAAAGCCACTCCCGTCGTCACAAGCTCGAGAGGCCTCTCTGCACGGCACTCAGCCAAAACCACAGGCTTTGTGGGGCAGGCACCCGGCTGGCGTAAGGAGTTTTAACATGCGAACATGGGTGACACACTATCAAACACTACCTCCGGGGGGGGGGGGCTCTAAATCAGCCCTGACTTCTATCACAGCTTCCTGAGGGTCCTTAGGGAAGTCACTGTCCTCTGGACATCGCTGGAGGCCCTCAGGGTAAAAACACGTGATGCTGTGTCATCCTTGTATTGCAGAGGAATCTACTGAGGGGCACAGAGAGGGGCAGCAATGGGCCAGAGGACTCAGCGCAATCGAGGCAGAGTTGGAGCGGGACTGGGTTCAGTCAGTGCGCTCGCTCCATGCCCCAGAGCTGCACGTGCCTGGGCCGCTGGACAAAGGGTGACAGCAAAAGCCAGCAGGAGAGCAGAGGTGGCTTTGCCGCACTTGGCTGCCTGAACCCTTCTGTACTTAGGAGAACGGCTCAACTCCCCTCCCACACACTCATCCGGGGGGGGGGAGCTCTAAATCAGCCCTGACTTCTATCACAGCTTCCTGAGGGTCCTTAGGGAAGTCACTGTCCTCTGGACATCGCTGGAGGCCCTCAGGGTAAAAACACGTGATGCTGTGTCATCCTTGTATTGCAGAGGAATCTACTGAGGGGCACAGAGAGGGGCAGCAATGGGCCAGAGGACTCAGCGCAATCGAGGCAGAGTTGGAGCGGGACTGGGTTCAGTCAGTGCGCTCGCTCCATGCCCCAGAGCTGCACGTGCCTGGGCCGCTGGACAAAGGGTGACAGCAAAAGCCAGCAGGAGAGCAGAGGTGGCTTTGCCGCACTTGGCTGCCTGAACCCTTCTGTACTTAGGAGAACGGCTCAACTCCCCTCCCACACACTCAGGCCCGCTGAGTGCCATGCCCAGCCCCCAGCCTGGGTGCAGAAACAGGAAGTGGCAGGAGATAGGGAAAGAGACAGATGTGTGTGGGGACAGGCAAGCTGCAAAGTGCATGGGCAGAAGGGAGGGGTTAGAGAGGCCAGTGTGAGGGACAAGGACGGGGACAGGGAAGGGACAGCACCCATCAGACTCCTTCCATGTGGGGCTGGTAGGGGCAGGGCTGGAGGATGCTCAGACTGGGGAGGCTGCAGCCAGGGGTGGGTGGTGGGAGAACTCAGTAGAGGCAGGAATAGCACGTGGGGGGGTGCAGAGTCCTGGGCCAGGGCACCTGAGCGATCAGGGAACAGTGGGAGGCCCAAGAGGGGATCAAGTATATGGTGAGAATTTAAATTAAAAGATGTCTTACGGTAGAACATACATCGCCATGCGTCCCCCTCACCTCAGGCACTCTGAAACCATCATTCCTGCCACTTCCTGAAGCAGACCCGGAGGTCCTCTTTCCTGAGTGTCTTTATGAGGCGTGATTCGAACACACTGAATGCTGCTGCTGAGGGCCACCCAACAGAAAGCCGCCTCCTAAAGACACGACGATGTGTCCCGATCCACCTTATTCACCGGATCTGGCACTGTGTGACTTCTGACTCTTCCCCAAAGTCAAAATGGCTATGAAAGGTAAACATTTTGACTTGACTCAGGACATCAGGGCAGCCACACGCGCACAGCTAAAGACACTCACGGAGGCGGACTTCCAGCACTGCTTCGGGAAGGGGCGAGGATGATGGGTAAATGTGTTCAAAGTGAGGAGGAGGATTCTGAGGAGGGTGACTGGCAATGTGTCTTCTACTGTAGTACTTTTTTAAAAAATTGGACTTTCCCCTCTTTTATTGATCACCCACACATGTGACTGACGGCAGCCAGGGTCTGCGCTGGCCTGGACGCCACTCGGGCCCTAGAGTGGGAGGCCGGCAGCCAGCAGCACAGGGCAGCGGGCAGGAAACACAGGAGCAGCGGGACAGCCCTCTCAAGGCCGCTGCCCTTGCTCTGTGTGTCCCTCGTCTGCCCGCCTGAGGCCACATTGCAGGCCGAAGTTCCGGGACCTCCTGCCCCATTGCCACAGACCAGGCGGTGACAGAGCAGGCCCTGCAAAGCCCGGATGTGGTTCTGGAGAGGGGCTGGTGGCCACCTTGGGCCGGGCTCTGTGACCCGTGCACCTGAGGCCTGAGGCTCAGCACGGTTCCTAACTGGGAGAGGAGACCGAGCAAGGTGCCAGGCCGGTGCTCAGGATGTCAGGGATTCGCGGTTTCCAGCCCTCTGTGTCTGGCCAGGGAATGTGAGGCCTTTCTCTGCTTTCTGGGCTCTTCTGCCAACTCGTGTCACTTTGATGGGAGAGAAGCAGGGACAGGAGGAAGGATGGGGACATATTGTCCACCCAGGCTCTTCAGTGGGACCTTAGATAGGGGACACCTTGCAGCCCTCTTCTTTTCTGTTTCCCTGCTCTTCCTGGTGTCTCTTCTCCAACCCTTCCCTCACTCCCATGTATCCCCTCCAATAACTCCTGGTTTTCTCAGAACTGATTTTCATCCTGCCATGCTCTTGCTCAAGAATCTTCAATGGCTCCTGACAGCTTACTAAATTACATACACATCCTTTTCCCCAACTCTTTTCAAATGTCACTAGCCACACATGTCTTTCTAGAACCATACTGATTTGCTGTGCTCTTTCCCCGGGCCCCACTATTATCCTTTTGATATTTCTAGAACAGTGTCTGTCATCCAATAGAAAATATATTGTGCCACAGATTTTAAACCACTTACTATCCTTATTTTAAAAAGTAAAAGGAAGCTGAACATGGTACACATATTTGTACCTAGCACTTGGGAGGCCGAGGCAGGATGATCTTGAGTTCAAGGCCAACCTGGGCTACATAGTAGAACCCCATCTTAAAACAAAAAACCTTAAATAAATATATTTTTAAAATTTCAAAGGGACAGCCGGGTGTGGTGACACACACCTGTAATCCCAGCACTCAGGAGGCTGAGGCAGGAGGATCACTGTGAGTTTGAGACCAGCCTGGGCTACATAGTGAGTTTCAGGGCAGTCACAACTACATAGTGAGACCCTGTCTCAAAATAAATAAATAAATAAAATAAATAAAAATAAGAAAAAAATAAATAAAATAAAAGGGACAGGTAAAATTAATTTGCGTTTCCTTTAACCAATATATCAAAAATATGATCATTTCAATACATAGTCAATATGAAAAAAGTACTACAGTGTTGTATGGGAATCCAGCGTGGATTTCACAGCACACCTCAGCTTGGACCAGCAGGACTGATGCCAGGTTTGAATCCTGACTACTCTTCTATGCCCTGATCTCTGTCCTCAGGTGATCCCCCTGTTGAGATCCCAACCCTAGTACCTCCAAATGCAACTTATTTGGCAATAGGGGCATAGCGGATACCTATCATTGCTCAGTGCCAACAGACAAGGGTTCCAGGATCCCCAAATCCCCAGGTACGCGAGTCCCTTCCGTAAGATACATGGCTTTGCATAGATCCTGCACACACTTTAAATCACCTCTCATAACTGACAGTATCTGATCAAATGTAGGTGATATATGAATAGCTGTTGTACTGTTGTTGGGGGAATAACAGGACGAAAACAGGTGTCTGTACGTGTTCAGTGTAGATGCAGTTTTCTTTCCAATACTTTCAGTCCCTGGGAGCTACTGTGATTATGTGATCCCGGGAACGCGATGGGTGTGTGCCTGAGGGAACACTCAGTAACAGTATTCTTGGACTTCCCAAGTCCCACGGAAACCAATGAGCTCGCCTGCCCCATTCAACCTTCCCAGAAGTGACTAACTTGGGGGAACCACTAGGTGGTTTTGAGTTTTGCTTTCCCCTTCTGTTTCAGAGAAACAGAAACTCATACGTGGAGCTGGTATCACCAAAGCTAAAAAAAGCAAGGGGGTGGGAAGTCCTGGAGCCTCAAGCTTGGGCTTCAAACTGAGAGGGTGGCTGCCCTGGGCCTGGGGCGAGACCTCCCTCAGTCCCGCAATCTGGGGAGCTTCTGCCTGGTCTCCAGAGCTGCTCACCCCCAGGAGCCTGTTGCCACGGGCTCCCCAGTGGAGGCCCAGCATGGGGGAAAAGCCTCTCCTCACTGTGTGAGGAGGGTCCAGCGGGACTCAGTTTCCCCGCTCTGCCAGAAACCAGAGGTGAATCTTGGTGATGGGAAACTCAGGCTCTCCCGGCAGGGGTGGGGGACCGCAGATCCCAGAGAAGGAGCTGGGGATGTGGGAGAGGGTCGCTGTTGCCCCCTGGCCCTTGACTCACCTCTCGTCGGGCCTCGGGGAAGGGTGTGGCCGCCTCCATGTGCAGATGTGTGACCCCGCTGACTGGAGTCCTGTAATCGGTGATCACCCCCTCGGGCCGGATGAACTTGTCATACAGCACCGAACCGGAGAGGCTCACGAGGCTGCAGCGGGCCAGGCCGCTCTCCTGCAGTGGCCCCAGCCCCACCATCTCGCAGTCCATAGCCACCACCTCCAGGCTGCCCGCCATGCTCTGTGGGAACCCTCTGACGTGCGGGGAGTGTCACGCCAGCCTCCAGGTGTCCTGGGCTACACCCAGCTGGCCTGCACCCTCCCCGCCCTGCCCTTTGACTCCAGTGTCACCCGGTAACAGGGGAAGCTGGCCTCTTGCCACCCTGCGCGGCTTCCCGGACACGGGTCCCAGGGCCGCTGGTCCTGCTGCCAGGAGGTCCTCTCCCTCGTCACCGCTCTCACCTGCCTGCCTCTCCGCCTCTGCCTCTCTGCTGCCACTTCTCAGCCACTGCAAGGCTCTGAGCAGTGACTCATCTCTCTTTAGGAGCCGGGCATCCCGACCCGGTTTCGGTTTCCAATTTGTTATCAAGGGAAATCAGGGGCGGGGAGGCCCGCAGTGGGCTGGGCTACTCCATCTCCACTGCCTGCAGCAGGTGGAGAGCAGGTAGGCTGAGTCAAGGTGGCCAAGTCCAGGTGTCCCTCCTCTGCACCCGCCCCGCCACGTGCTCCCCTCTCCGATGAGCGATGAAGTGAGCGTCAGATGTGGTCGGAGTGGATTGCGACATCTTTTTTTGCTTTCTCACCTTCCACCCAGAAAACAAACATCCCCAGGAATGGAGACTGGGGAGTGTTCCCTGCTTCTGGGGTTACCAGTCTGATACCGTGAGGTCTTTCACAGGGCAGGGCAAGCTGCTCTTGGGACACTGAGGCTATTCATTGGGAAAGGCAGAGCCTGGGGTGGGAGGGGGCAGCCCAGTCCCCTCCCACCCCAATCCAGGGCCTGCAAGGAGGCACGGAGGCCCCCATCGCTCAGGAGCACCTTGAAACAGACCTGGCTGCCCCTCGTGGGCTCTGACAGGAGAGGAATGAGGAGAGGCAGGCCTTGGGGAGCCTCCACCAGCCCTGCCAAGGAGGGTCACCCTGTCCTGGGCATGGAAAGTGGATGAATGAATGAGTTACACTGGGTCAGAGGTGGAATCAGTGGCTTTAAATGTTGTGGTGGGGAGGGACGAGGCGAGCCCTTCACCCCATGCTTGCCCCCTACCTGGACCCACAGGAAACAGGCACACATCTTGCTGCACTGGTTGCTTTTCGTTGACACCAATATTTGCGATTGGGAAGGGAACTTCCCCTAGATCCGTGGTGTTTTCACCAAGCAAGACATCTGACTTTAGCAGACTCCCAAAGTAAAATCAAATGTTGCACTGTCTGACATGGCTTCATTCCTCTTTGCTGTGTGGCTGGTTAATATCTCGGGTACGAATGAATTTTTGTTCCCCACCCTGAACGAGTGACTTTTGCCTGCATCAGACTGGGGACTTTCTGCTTTTCAAATGCAGAAAAGTGGTCACACTTGAAGGAATCCAACTGCCACCACCATCCTGATCAGAGACCCCTCTAAACTGCCCCCTCCCGGCACAGCTGTACCTGGGGACTCCTAACTTGATCAGCTGCCCTGCTATGGATAGAAGCCACTACTCCCCATGTTTTCCCAGGCTTTGTCCTTGGGCAACCATTACCACTTGTGCTCTTCCAAGCCTGGTTCTGAGCCACAGCCCCCTTTCACTGAACTCTCCCCTCTTTGTGACCCTACTAAATATCCCATGGCCTTTAGGAGAGCAGCTGGTCTGGTTTCTAGTGCCAGAGCAGTCCCTCTCAGGTTTGTTCTGCAATAAACCTGTCCTGTTGAGCTCATACCTGTGATGCTTTTCCTTTCTCCTAACAACAGTGATTTAGGGGGATCACTTCTTGGCCCTTTGGCTAAGGTCAAGTGTAGTACAATGACTTAGTGGGGAGAAGCAGCAGAAACAGGTGTCAAAATCATGTTACTTTAAGTGCGTTTAAAATGTAACCCCCTAAAGATCTGATTGGAGGTTTGTATCTGCATTTCCCACGGGACCTAACGGGTTCACCGTCACTGTCAGGGCCTAGCATGACCTTCAGTTGCCTTCACCCTACTCCAATCTCATTAAGGTTTCATAAATATGCTCTACACATCATACAATACCAGAGTGAATTCTTGGGTGAGCATGCGTGTTGAGAGATAACAGCATCATGTCAGCCATTCCTACCGATCATACCTAGGGGTTCAGGGGAAGGCACCTGAGCAGAGGCGCCTGTCCTTTAAATTCTGAAACCCTGGTTTGATCTATGTGCCCCTGCCATGTGCTGTGCCTTTTCTGCTACCCCGACCCCTTGTTCTGTCTGCACTGTCTTCTGTTGGTACAGACTTGTGCTGTCTCTCAGGCCAAACCTTGAGCTCTCTATGTAAAAGTGCATCTCTTATCCTTTTCCTGGCCTTCTTCCCAGGGCAGTGGGCACTGTGGGAAATCCTGGACAGCCCACTGGTTCACTGTTTCCTTGCCCCGGGACAGGTTCACTGCTGGGCCCCCAGCAGTTGAACCCTGCCTGGGCCAGGCTGGCTTTTGTTCAAATGTACTGTGTTGTGATGTTGGCCTCAAGTGCTGGTGACCAACAGCGCCAAAGAAGGCAGATTTCAGCCACGGGCTTTCCCAATGTTCTCAGCTTCACCGGGCAGGGAAGTGAGCCCATCTACAGGCCATGCCCACAAACCTCGGATCAGGTGAAGCTGGAGAGCGAGTCTCTCAGGATAGGTTACTACAGTCTGATTTGCATCTCTCTGACCATCAGTGCTGTCAAGCATCTTTATATGGTTATTTGTACACCGTTCATGTTTAACTCAGTTCTTGTGTGAGGTTGGAGGAGCTGCCTGTCCCGGCTGCAGCAAGAAGACAGCCCCTCAAATCCCCACCAGGAGGATCCCCTGGTACCTGCCAAGCAGACAACTCATGCTGCAGTGTGGACATGGTTTGAGTGTGTCCCCAAAGGGTCACATGCTGGCAGCCTGGTCCCCAGTGTGGTGGTGTTAAGGTTGCTTAATGGGAGGTAGTAAGTGTGGGGTCACCACCCAAGTGAGCAGGCTAATGCCGCCTCCTGAGAGCTCTGTGTCTTTTGGGACTCGATGGTATTGCAAAAATGGGTTGTTATAAAGTGAGTTTGGCTTTCAGGTCACTATCCTGCTTCCTCTCTGCTAGGGGTCTCTTCTTCCACAGGCCACTGTGCCCCCATCTCCCACAAGGCCCCCTGCAGAGCAAGCAGAGGCCAATGCCATTCTTTTGAATCTCTGCAACTGTGAGCTAAATAAGCCCCTCTCCTTTCTAAAGCACCCAGTTTTGGGCATTTTATCATAGTACACAAAACGGAGCAAGACAACGCTTAACAGAGGGTCAGAGCCTCCCCCACTTCCTTGGCGGCACCCTGCCCCTCCCAGCTCAGCTTTCCCAGCTGGACCTGTCCCCCCTGAAATGTACACCTGTACCGCTGAATTGCAAACTACAGATCGGAAAGCAGGGTCTCAAAGGGGCATCTGCACGCCCCATGACCACAGCTGCATTATTCACAACATCCAAGAGGGGAAAGTGACCCCAGTGCTGCCTGGTGACACCAACCCGAGAGGAAAGTGACGCATGCTAGGACATGGATGGGCCTTGGGGACACTACACTAAGTGAAACAGACCAGTCACGAAAATAGTTTGAGTCTGCCAGGCAAAGTAGTCCAAGCCTGTAATGTCAGCACTTGGGAGGCTGAAGCAGGAAGATTACAAGTTCTAGATCTAGATCCTAACAAAACAAAAAAAAAGAAAAAGAAAAGAAAGTTTATCTACTCAAACACATAGAATCACAAAAGTAAAAAGGTGGCTGGGGAGATAGGAGTTATTGCTTCATACATTCACAATGGGCCTGCAATTTACATCTTGATGCCAGAGCGCTGACTTGAATTTGAACATTCCTGTCAGCTTGGAGGGAGGCAGGACAGAAGAAATAAAATTAGGTAGAACGGAGACCAGGAAATCAAGAATTTAAAATTGTACTTTTAAAGAAAAACTACTGCTTCAGAACACAAGCCTGGGTTTATTCACTTCCCAACCAACAAATGTTGGCAAGCCCCTTCTGGCTGCCAGTTGCCTTTTCCTTCAGCTTCCTCCAGCCCAAAAGGAGCAGGGTGGCGTGTGGGCACCTCCACTCTGGGACCTGGCGGACTCCGCTCTCATGGGTTCTGTATTTACTTCTAAGAAATATTCTTGTGTCTCTTTTTCACTGACACATCCTGGAAATTCTTTTTCCACGATGGGAGTCAGAGAACCTGCATTCTTATGTTAAAGGAGTGGATTAAATTCCCTGTGCCTCAGGACCCTCAGACAGTGACAGGACCAGCAGTACAGGCATGACTGTCCCATTGGGCAGCTTGTACCACTTCGCAGGGGGTCTGTGATTACAACAGTGCAAAAAAGTCATTGATTTAGCAGACTAGATGTCATTACATTATATGTTCCTTAAGGAAAGTATTAAAATGGTAATAAAATAGTAAAATTGTAATATAGCTAGTTTATGAGTTGTAAATGCACATTACATACAGCAGCAATGGGGTGCTTATTAAGATTTCTGTTAAAATTTAGAGAACTGATAAAATATTCACAAATACAATTCCATTTAATGAGATAAATTTGTTAATTACTGTAATGACTTTTAACTGGTATGAATAGTATTAATATTCGGACAATAGTAATTCAAATTAAAGCAACTAACTAGATGTGGTCCATTTAGATTTTTTATTAACTTTGTTAGTAAAAAGACTGATAGAAGTGATTAAATCCATTTGTACAGTGCTGCAGTGAGATGGACCAGTAATAGCATAAACTCTTGGATATGGTAAGAAAAGTATTACCACATGTACACCCAATAGTAAGCCCCAAGCAGCTACATTTATTGAAAATCACAGGAAGTTGTGCTCAGGGCAAGTCTGTGCCACCAGACAGAAAAGCACTGCATACCGGTCAAAGCACACAAAAGCAGCAAGAGTAACAAAAATCTCAGGTTTTTGTGATTTAAAGGACATGCACCACAGCTTAGGTGCCCCCCCTTATGGGTCCTGACAGGACTGACAGGGTGCTGTCATCTGAGGGGCTCTGAACCTGCACTGTCCCAGAATTCATTCTGATCTTGATTATACTTCAGGTCAGCCTAGGAGATCCAATATGCTTGTGTTCTTACCTAGAGCATCAGAGATCTGGGTTTTGTTACTTTCTACCCCTCTGGGACAAGGGAAGCGGGATAACCATAGGGTGCTGCTTAGAATTAAATAGAGGAGTGACTCCCTCAGCTCCACTGTCTCTAACTACACTAGTCAAGCATACACCACAGTGTTTTGAGCTTGTCAGATCATGTTTGGGTTTTGCAAAATGAAAGTGTTCTGGAAATCTGTTTTACAACAAAGTGGATGAGCCGCATGTGGTGGTGCACGCCTGTAATCCCAGCACTCAGGAGGCTGAGGCAGGAGGATCCCTGTGAGTTCGAGACCAGCCTGGGCTGCATAGTGAGTTCCAGGTCAGTCTCAACTATATAGTGAGACACTGTCTCAAAAACAAAACAAAACAAAGCAGATATACTTAACACAAAATGGGACACTTAAAAATGGTTGAGTTGGTAAATTTTATATATCACAATTAAAAAGTTTTAGAGTGAGTACATAGTTTTGGGGAGAAATTAAATAAATCTGTGCTTTATAATAGGGTAATTGTAAAATTAAAAATTATTTAATTCTGTATGTTACTTTTTTCTCATCTCCCCATCTTAAAAGATGCTTAAGGCCAAAGCACTCAGCAAAGCCCAGTGCCCCAACAAGGCAGACAGACGATTCATGCAAAGGGCCACATCACCTGCTCTCCCAGTTGAGCTTTATTCCAGAACAAATGGTTTTACAACAAAGTGATTTTCAACACTTTTCCCACTGATGACAGTAATATCGCCATCTGCCTCCGACCCACAAACCGAGCAAGGTACTGCTTGGCTGCCAATCTGCCGTCAGCAGCCACACAGAAGGGCTGAGCCAAGCTGGCAGTGGTCAACTAAGCCAGGCCCCTGCTCTGCTGACAGGGAGGAGCCAGTGACCCCACAGCCCGCCCTGGGATGGGAGATTCAGTTGACAGCATGTATTATGGGTGTGGTAATGTCCCTCGGTGCCTGACACTGACAAGTGGCATCGCAGAGCCACAGACCACACCTGAAAGTAACCCTGAACTTCTGCACTGCGTCCATGCTGGCCTGGGCCTGTGTGCTGTTCCCCACCACAAGGTCAGCGTGCAGGCATTGTTCTCAAGGGCCAGCAGCTCGTTCATAAAGGACAAGCCGGCACTGTTTGGGAACCTGGCCTTTAGCCTCCTCCCCACCCTATGTGGGAGGCTGTGCCCCTTAACACATGGGGAAACAGCTGGGGGAAGTCACAGGCTGGCTTGGCTTATCTGCCAAGTGTCAGAAAGATGGGACTCAGAGGCTTGTGTGATCAGTACCCCAAAACTGCTCCTTGGGAAACAGCATTTTCAGAAATGAATCTAAACCACAGTGGTCACAGTAGCCATCAGTCGGAGTTAAGGTAGCACCACAAAGGTGCAGGGACATGAGCTGTACACCTGCCATGGCAGCAGACATTCTGATTCTGGAGATGGTGGCCCCGGTCTCTTTTAAGAAGCTGGGGTCAGCTCTGCTGGGGCCACCCAAGCAACTGTGTGGTCTTCCAGGCTTTGGCATAGGAGAGCCTCACGCTGGGTGGGCATGGGACTCCCTGATTTGGGTCACAATAAATGTCAGTTCCCAATCAGGGCTTCTCTGCCTGCCCTGCTCCTTGCACTGTACCCAAGGACTTCTGAGGCCATGCTTGGGAAGGGGCCTGCTCCCCTGGGGAGGCATGGGCTGCTCCCCTGTCCAGCCTAGCAGGGTGGGAACAGGCCCTGCAGGGGACGAGGTTCCTATGGCAGCTGTACTCAGTTTTAGCACAAAGAAAGGGGACAAATGAGGGCTTCTCTTCCACTTTAGGAAGACCTTGGAGGAAGAGGTAGGTGACAAGAACAGAACTCCACCCTGTCACCAAACTGAGGCAAGGGAGCTCCAGGACACTAACCACCCTGGATGCTGTGTGGAGAGCCTGGAGGGAACACTGTCACTTCCCGGACTCCTGCCACCTGCCAAGTTGATTCTATAAAATGCCATTAATAAAGCCACAGGAGTCAGAAGACTGAAATGCCAACAACCCTTGGAGAGGGCTGCACTGTGGGCATAGTGTGCACAGAGGACACACAGATGGTGCCAGCAGCTCTGACCCTGGGCACCAGGGACGTCCTGCCTGCCCTGTTCCTCCCAGATGTACCGTCCAGTGCCCCCTGGCCCAGGCTTCCTCCTCAATCCTCCTCCCTCTCACTTCCTTCCGTCCTGCACCTCCCCTGTTCCTATCCTGGCACTGGGGGCCAGATCTTCAGGCCAGTACTGGTCCTCCATGTAGTGTTCCACGTCAGTGCTACTGTCCGGTTCCCTATCCTCAGGGTGCGACCACAGGCTGCTGGCCACCTCCTGCTCCCACCTGTCCTCCACCAGCCGGTAGAGCTCCATGGCGGTGGCAGCATCTTCCACGGATGAGTGCCCATGTTGGCCCACCTGCAGACGAGAGCCAACATCACTGCCTGGCGGGACAGGCCACAGGGCTCCTAGCTTCAGACCCTACTTCTAACCATAAGACACAGTAAAAACCTCCTGCTTCAGAGGATGAAGATCTGATGACAGTGAACAAGAAGCAGGGGAGGAGCAGGGTCCCTAGCCCTAACTGAGGGCTTCACATCTGCTTCTAGGAGACACGAGAGCAAACTCCAGGGGTGCAGAACAGAAATCAGCTTGGGGATACACCCAAGAGACTGGCCTGAAAGGTGACAGATACCCAGCACACACAGAGGAAGGGGCCTGGACAAGTGGAAGAGCCACTCGCTATTCAAGGTGACCAGGAGGAGGAAGGGACAGCCCGCAGCCTCATCTTCACCCTGGGACTTGGGGCCATGTGGCTTTGCTCCAGTGCCATTTACCTGGATCCTCTTGTGCAGCAGCTGCAGGGCCAGGTCCTTCAGGGAGACTCGGGCTCGGGTGTGGAGGCCAGGCTGGCCGAGCAGGCTCGGGACACATGTGGTGTCTCGGGTCTGGCTCCGGGGGTGGATGTACTTGAGGGCCTGGAAGTCATTGTGCAGCGCGTGCCCCACCACAACCTTGCCTTTCAGGAGCTTAAGGATCTGCGGGCGGAGAACAACAGGGAGAAAGAGCCCAGTGAGGCCTGCAGTGACACAGAGGAGCCCAGACCCTCTGTGGGAGCAGCAGCGGCAGATCGTGGGCTCCACAGTCAAGCTTGCTGCCCCACTTTTCAGTCCAGGCCCTTTTTGTTGCTTTTTTCTTTTTCCATGCTAGGGATTCAACCTAGGGCCTCATGTATGCTAGGTGAGGGGTCTGCCACTGAGCTACAATTACCGTCACCATTCTGAATCAATTCAGGACATCGAGGCTGCTACACACACACACACACACACACACACACACACACACACACACACAGCCAGGGATTTGGCTCAGTGGTTCCACTTCCTGCCTCACAAGTGCAAGGATCCGAGTTTAATCCCCGGTACCTGGTACCAAAAACAAAACAAAACATGACAGGACATCTAGAACTGTTTTGGAGAGTGGTAAGAACGATGGATAAGTGTGTTCAAAGAGAGAAGGAATATTTCAAGAAGGATTACTAGCAATCTTTTTTTACTGGAGTAAGTTTAAAAAGTTAAAAGTAACATCCACCACACCCTCTGAGCACACACCAAGCATGGAGGACCCTGTTGTTGGAGCAGGTAGGTGACTCTCTGCAGGTCTCCCTCGCCCAGTGGGGTACGACTTATACTCAGCCTCAAGGCTGTACTACCCAACCCTGGACGGACCCCGACCCTGCCCTCACCTCTTTCTGGGCCACCTGGAAGGGGGTGGCCGTGTGCATGTGCTGCCGCGTGATGCCGCTCCAGCGCGTGCGGAAGTCAACGATGGGCCTCTCGGGCCGGATGTACTTGTCATAGAGGACGTCACCATGATAACTCACCACGGAGCAGCGGGCCAGCTCGCTCACACACCCTCGGGGGCCCGTGCCCACCATCTCACAGTCAATAGCCACACACTTGCTGGGCGAGGGTCCCGAAGCTTTCCTGGGGGCTGGCCTTCTGCTGCTCCGGCCGCCACCGCCAGATCCAGCCCTGGGATGCTGCCTCCCACCACGGGCAGCTTCGGAGCCTGGCGGTGCCTCCGATGGTGAGGAGCCTGGCTCTGGCGTCATGTTCAGCAGCCCCTGCTCCTGCAGCAAGGCCTTCCGGGCCATGAAGCGCAGGCACTGTCGGGTCCTCCTCTTGTGCCTTCTCCGGAGCACATCCTTGGCATTCGGGCTGGTGTTGGACAGGCGCTGGGGAGACCCAGGGCCTTCCCCGTGTACCATGCCAGTCAGTCCACAGCCCGCAGCAAGGGACGCCAGGGAGGTGGTCTCTCCTCGGGGTAGCAGCCTACAGGGAGAACAGAGGGGCAGAGGGGATACGTGAGGAAGTGGAAAGCTCACCCCTCGGTACTGGAGCTCACAGCTCTTGACGGCACACAGACCTGCCTCACCAGCAACAGCACTCACACCGCTAAACCGTCTTGGAATCACGCCGTCACCCCAGCTCCCCAATTACTCATTCCTCAGCAAAGAAACTGAGTTATAAAGATTAAGGACTCTGCCCAATTAGCAAAGAAAAAGACTCATAAGGACCCAGAATCTCCAGGGCGTCGTGCTGCTCACCTGTAATCCCAGCACTCTGGGAGGCTGAGGTAGGGGGATTGCAAGTTTGAGCCTAGCCTGGGCAATTTAGCAAAGCATTTAGAGAAACCCTGTCTCAAAATAAAATTTAAAAAGGGCTGGGAGGGGTGGATTTAGTTCAGTGCTGACACCTCCTGATACCCTTGATGCCAGGTACAAAAAAGAGGGGGGTTGGGCATGTAGCTAGTGGGTGCCCCTAGGGAGGTCGCTGAAATGTCGGAGTCGTGTCTCTGATCCAGAGTGCTATCTGTTCCCTGACAGAACCACCAGAGAATTATCACACCCTTCCAAGTCCATAGCTAACAGTCTAGGGAAGGCAGGGCCTCTTGAAAAGTGTGTGGAGGGACCAAGCTGGGCCTGCTACTAGCTAGACTGTGAGGACCACGGGGATGAAGCTCACTGTGGCCTCGGGAACTCTGGGCTGGGTGGGGAGAGGGAAGAGGTGGGAAAGGTGCAAGTGCATGATCCGGACTACAGCAAGGGACAAAGGGGAGGGACACAGGACAGAGAGAAACACTGGATGAGGGAGGCCCAGAGACGGAGGGGACCCTTTGCCAGGGTCTAGTTAGGCTGGTCCACCGGGCAGTCCAGAAAGGAAATGGTTTTGAGAAAAGAGAAGCTGCAAGCCCAAAGTGCAGGAGCCAAAGTGCATCACTGCAGGCAGCAGAGTTCGAAAGGCACAGGGTTAGGGAGCAAGGAGAAAAGTGGAGGCTGAGGAGTGACAACTGAAGGACGGAGAGCCAACAAAGGATTTTAGGGGAGAGTGAACTCATCACAATTGCCCACCAGGAACAAGTGTGGACTGGATAAGAACCTGGGCAGTAGCAGTAGAGATGGGAAGGTTCAGGAAGTGAGCCAGAGCACAGGTTTGCTGACGCCAGCACCCACCATGACGCCTCCTGGCACTGAGGGCCATGGTGAGGCTGGTGACCCATCCTGACTCATACACCCTGGGCCTCCTCCCTTTAAAGAAGACGTTTCACTGTCATCAACAACCACCTGTTAGAAGTGACAAATTCAGAACGTGATTTGCTTTAGCTGGGCAATGGGAGAAAATCAAAGCTAAGAAGCCAAAGCTGGCCCTGCTAAAAACTGGCTTGAGGTGCAGGCTTTTCTCGGAGAGGGGCTGTGGGTCACAGGGTGGATGGCTTTTCTGCCCAATACAAGGTCCGAAGGAAGCCAAAATTAGATTCCACGAGAAAAGAACTTGGCGGCCTGGTGTTTAAAGAGACAGGCGTCTTCCACTGGCCTGGTCTCCCTGACTGGTCAGAACCAAAGTGACCGGAGGGTGCCTCGCCCTCCAGCCCCAGATGGAGCTGGCTCAAAGCACACAGCCCTTTCAGTAAGGACAGATACAGATCTCTTTCCAGACCACCCGGTCTCTGGGGATTCGCACAGAAGACCTTTAAGTGTCCTTCGTCCAAGAATAGGGCCTTAGTGGCAAAGTCCATAAAGCTAAAACCTGGAGGAACCACAGTCAGAATCACCAGATTTCTTTCTGGTGTGGGATTAGACAAGCGTGGCTTAGACTAGACTTAGGGTATAGAGCAGCTAAGTCCGAGAAGCACTGCGTTTGTCAAAAGGCAAGATTCTCCACATTGTATGAACTTCCTTGGGGAGAGGACCTTGGAATCCCCACCCCCATACTGGAGATTAAACTCAGGGCCTTCGCGCTGATCTACATACATCCTCAACCCTAAAAATAAATAAATAAATAAACAAAAAACAAAAAAACATGGCTCTCTCCAAATGGCTGAGTTGCCCAGGCTGGGCTCGGATTTTCGATAACTCCTGCCTCAGCATCCAAGAGTGCTGGGAGTACAGGCACCACCTCGCTTAGGAGAATCATGGTCTCTACCGGAGACCCCACCCAAAATGGCCCAGATCTGGGAGAAACTGGCTCAGTAAGACCTTCTGTGTTTCTAAAAAGTTCACAGGAGAAAAAAGCGTAAGCAGCGCTCGGACAGCATGGCCGA